CACACACACACACACACACACACACAGACAGACACAACCTGACAGGCCCATAAGGCTCTTCACTCTAGCCAGAATTAAATCATAGCTCACTCACAGCAAGCCCACGACCTGCAGAATTGATTAAGCAGACAAGTCGAGCAAGTGTCTTCAGTCAGCAGTAGATTTATGACTGCTCACAGACACACTCTTGTGCAAAAATATTGAATATTGCTGGAAGTGAACTCTGGAAAATGCCGGTTACAATTCCATAATTTTTGCAGATCTCTGAGAATATTAAAGGTGTCCAGTCAACTGAACCCTTCACAGTCCAAACACACCGAGAGGTTCATTTCCCAGACTTCCTTTGCAAACAAGATTTTTGATAGCGGTTTAATATCTGGTAACGTCCGCTGTGTGTGATTATTGCCTGTAAAGGAAGTAGTGAACTCAGTTAAACCAATATTGTTTCATCATGTCATTCTATCTAAATCGAATTACATGAGTAAATCTTACATATATGAATCCTGTAGCATGAATCAATCAAGCAGATTAGTCAGGTTCCTTGTTCCTTTCACAAACTTTATTAGATTTGTATTTATTTTTTTTTACTTCATTTTATTTATTAACTGAGCAGATAAAAAAAAAATATTGGGCAAATCTACTGAGACCTAAAATTATAGAAAGTAATCTGTTATAATCTATTTTATTTCTTTTAAAATTCACCTAATCAACTTCATATTATTCTGCTACATTCTATTTTATTCTGTATTAACTTATTCAGCAGATGCATTTACCCAAAGCAATTTTTTTTTCTATTTGATCTATTTTTATTCATTAGGAGGTGAGTTTACCTCAACCATATTATTCTATTATATTCTATATTTATTAATTTAGCAGACACATTTACACAACAAGCAACGTATTATTCTAGATTTTATTTTGTTTAGCCGATTAATTTACACAAAACTTTGAATTATTCTATTATGTTATATTTTATTCTATATTTACTAGCTGCATTTACCTAAAGCAACTTTTTAATATTCTATTCTATTTTTATTTAGCATATGCATTCACATATAGCAACTTTACATTGTTCTGTTGTTTTATTTAATTCTATATTATTTTAGTTGATCTACGTAAATGGAATTCGTTGAAGTACAATAAGATGAATATTCTATATTTATTAATTTAGCAAATACACAAATTAACTTTATATTATTCTATTACATTCTATTTTATTTTTACTACATACATTTACCTAAAGCAACTTCATGTAATTCTACTGTATTTTATATGTATTTATTTAGCAAATCCTTTTACACAAAGCACCTTTATATAATTCTGTTATGTTCTATTTTATTATATTCATTCATTAGATGAATTCAGCTTTTCTGTTGTATATTCACTTTAGCAGATCCATTTATCTAAATCAACTTTTAAATTTTCTATTTTATTCTACATGTATTTAGCATGTGCATTTACATATTGCAACGTCATATTATTCTATTGTTTTATTCTATACTTATATATTTACTAGATGCAAGCAACTTAATGCTATTCTACAATATTCTTCTGTTCTATTATTGGGTACAAAAGTCTTTCTACAGCGCATGAGTACTGTACTTTCAAATTAAGCACCGGTACCCATAATGCCCTCTGTTTCTGCTCCAGCAGCTGCAGAGGTCAATGCTCTCCGGCCCGTCTCGAACGGGCTCTCAGGATATTGAATGGGGCAGTGAAGCCAACACGATGGAACATTGTGTCAGTTAACGCAAGGGCAGCGTTTCAAAGGAAACATATTTTTCATTTCTCAGCATCAGCTGCCAGTGGAAGGTGACTGCAGCTCCAGAGCTGTTAACCTTTACCCCGGCATACTGAGACCGAGCACTAAACCACTAATAATAGCCATCTAATGCTACGTCACACTCGCACAGATCCCGCCTCCTTTATTGTTTGCTTTTTCCACTCCCTCCGTTGATGTCTGCAGGAATGGCATTTGAATCAATATTTCATCACTGCTAACAGAAACATTGCGCTCCCCATCATGACTGACAGTGAAGCTCCTGTAGTTTTCCTTACTATGGCTCACGCGGTTTTGAAACATTTTAATCATCTGTTTATTAATAGGAAGCTGTCACATGGCGCTGCACCCACTGCTTCAGAAAACAGATGAGAGGATGCAAAACAGGGACACGTGTTAGCTGTAGTTCCTCTGTGAATATAGTAAATAAGGCTTTGCGGTACATTCATTTGATGTATTTTTCTACCTTACTACAGTACAAAAGAACTACAAGTAATCAGTGTTTGTCTAAACATTCAGATGACATCTGCCTCAGCCAATGGTATGAATTTGGGCGGAGCTATTGTTTGTTCAACCAATGGCAAACCACAGGAGTGTTTCTGGTCATTATGTTTACACTTAAGCCTTATAAAGTAAGTGAAACGGTATCCGATATATAATGATAAACATTTCAAAAGGTTTAGGCTACAATTAAATCACACAACCCCTCTACATTACATGTTTAATACAGTGAATCCAGTATTATAAAAGAATCCCGTTTGTACAGAATCCAGTTTTGTAAAAATGACATGGTAAAACAATCAGATGCATTAAGACTTTAAGACTTAACATTTTATTTGAAGCCTTTTTATATAAAGCATTTTAAAAGTATTTGAATGCATTAATTGTGATTTAATGCACCTTAGAATGTATTCATGTATGATTTTCATGAATAATTGTAACCACAGTCATAGTACGTATGTATTATAAGTACTATATATATTCCTTTATATTCCTGCACTCTCTGTTCTAATTCTATTCTTTAAAATAAGCTGGTCCCTTTTAGACTTGCACTCCATTCATTTACTAACTGCTTGTTTTCTTAAAAAAAAAAAAAAAAACGAACACTAGCTTCTCTAATCCTTTTGTATTCTATCTATTTGTTTTCTTTTTATTTATTATACAATTAACAAAGCAAAAAGGCCTCTGATACTAGCTTGCTCTATTAATTTTCTATTCTATCTGTTTATTTTTATTTATTATATAATAAAAAAAAAAAAACCTTTAAACCCTTGCTACGTGTACTCTGCTAAGCTAACTGAGACTTGTTATAGCACTTATATATATTATAATATTTTTAATGATGATTCTCATTGTTGAAATACTCTCTTTTCTTTATTACAGAAGAAATATTGTTTTCCCATTTTTTTCAATTAAGCTGAATTAATTTTGAATGAATGAAAGAAAGGCAGTATAACAAATGCTGCCATATTTTTTTTCTGTGTAAAAGTAATGAGGAGACAACTTTGTTGTTTCACAGTAATGAGAATATATATATTGTCACGATGTGTCTTGTAGTACGCAGGAGACACGGGATACTCTTGAACAGTCTTTATTGACAAAATGCAAAGGGGAAAATCCAACATGGGAACTAGCACAAACACGTGTACCCAAATAGTAGACCGGATGAAGAACTAAGGAACAGACAGGAACTAATATACACAGAATAATTAAACACAGGCGAGCAGAATAATCTATTAAATAAACAAAGACAGGAAAATGTCCAAATATGGCAAACCAGGAACTAAAACAGGGGTAAAACAAGGAAAAACAAGTCCAAAACACTGACATAACTCCCCCCTCCTGAAAGGCATGTCCCGTGCCGTAACATATCCACCAGGGAGGGGGGGTGGGCGCTCTGGAGGCCATATCCGGAACCCATGGCGGATCAGGCAGTTCAGGGTGCCATGGCGGAGCAGGCAGACAAGGAGGCCATGGTGGAGCAAACAGTTCAGGAGGCCATGGTGGAGCAGGCAGACTAGGAAGCCATCGCGGAGCAAACAGTTCAGGAGGCCATGGAGGAGCAGGGAACACAGGGGGCCTGTCCTCGGCACTCGGCCCGGCCTCCACGGACGGACCCCTACTACCCCCCCAAAAAAAAATCCTTGCAGAGAATGTCGGTTACAGAGACCCTCTGTAGGCCTAACTCGGGAAATGTGGCCCTCCCTGGGCTTGACTTGGGGACTGGAGCCCTCCTTGGGCTGGATGTGGAAACTGGAGCCCTCTTTGGGCTGGACATGGGAACTGGAACCCTCTCCGGGCTACACTCGGGGACTGGAACCCACACTGGAGTGGGCTCTGGGGCTGGAGCCGACACTGGAGCAAGCTCTGGGCCGAGGATGAGGGCAGAGAGCAGTCCCTTCCTTTGATTCAGGGTGCATCGGGCCGGCGGGCTTGAGTCAGCGGCGGCCGGCGGGCTAGAGAGAGTGGCAGCCGGCGAGTTTGACTGAGAAGAGGCCGGGGGGCTTGAGGGAGCCGTGGCTGGTGGGCTCGACTGGGGAATGGCCGGCGGGCTTGACTGGAGAATGGCCGGCGTTTCTGGGCTAAGGACAGAGACGTTGCTGGGAGGAGATGGTTGGTCGGAACATTTGGCCGGGTATGTGGAGAGTCCTAGCGAGGGGTGAGCTGGCAAGGCCCGGTGGTTTTCGGGAGGGACTGGATGATGATCACTCTGAACCTCTTCTACTTTGAGACTTACACCATTTAAATAAAGGACTTGATTAACCAACTGGATCAGGGGAAAACTGTACGTGGGAAGATTGCAGCCGATTACGTCATCATCACGCTCCAGCCGAAAACAGACACCGAGAGCAGCGTTGAACCAGCTCACCTGGTTGGAGAGCTCTAGGAACTCCTCTACATACCTCTCCAACTCCCGACCACCCTGCCGCAGACACCAAAGTCTGTCTTCAGCCGCAGTCATCTTGTTTGGTCCGGTCTTCTGTCATGATGTGTCTTGCTGGAAGTACTCAGGAGACACGGGATACTCTTGTCTTTATTGACAAAATGCAAAGGGGAAAATACAACATGGGAACTAGCACAAACACGTGTAACCAAATAGTAGACCGGACGAAGAACTAAGGAACAGACAGGAACTAATATACACAGGATAATTAAACACAGGTGAGCGGAATAACCTATTAAATAAACAAAAACAGGAAAATTACCAAATATGGAAAACCAGGAACTAAAACGGGGGTAAAACAAGGAAAAATATAACTCTGAAATGATATGAAATATATTCTAATTCACATATACATATATTAGTGCAGTCAAACGATTAATCGCAAAAAAATTGTGTTTACATACATGTGCGTGTACTGTGTATATTTATTATGTATATATAAATACACACCCATGCATGTATATATTTAAGAAAAATATGTTACATTTATATATTAGATATATTAATATATAACAAATTATATGAATATAAATAGATACATGTAAATAAATGCAAATATTTTCAAAATATATACTGTATGTGTGTGTATTTATATATACATAATGAATATACACAGTACACAGATATATTATGTAAATTCATATTGAATATACTTTTATTTCGCGATTAATCACTTGACAACACTTTATATATACTGTATATGTATACATATTCTTTCGAAATTCTAAATATTTTTCCATTTTTCATCTTTGTTATTTGTGACCTGGGCACCTCTTCATAAGATTAATTTTATAGTTTCATTTTACATTACATATTTACTCTAAATTTTGGAACTGATTGACACTCACTTACTGTATTAACAACTGGACACTGATATTAGATGATGGCCTGGTCATTATATATGCCTTTTACTACAATAAACAAAATTTGAAAGAGAATGAGTAATAATGATAATGAAGGACAAAAAGGCAAAGACAGACAAACTGAATGCTAATAATCATTGCTGAGTGTTGCTGTCTAAAACAGACAGATTTTTCATCCATAAAGTCAGTCTGGAAAAGCAAATATCCTCTCAAATTCCAGCCATTCCTCTCATGTCACAAGCACTGGATTCACATCACAACCTGTTGTGTGGGAAGAAGCCATTAGATATGATTACTGCCACACACTCACACACTAACACGTCTCTCAGACGGATGGTGTCATAAGTATGATTTGGGATCACGTCCAGAAATGCCACTGCTGTCATCCGTCTTGGAGCCACGCGCCGTACATTGGTTTGCTGCAGAGTGGCAGCGGCACATCGGGTTCTCAGAACAAATATTGTCTGGGATGAGTCACAGCCTGAGTAATTAGAGTTGGTGTCTTCCAGAGTCACGCATGTGAGTATGCAGCTCTAGCGGCTCTTGAGTCGCTGGATTGTGTTCACTGAGGTTACCATGGTAAACACACTCCCTCACAATGGGCGACCGGTTCAGCTGACAACGGTACAGCAACACTGAGAGTCCTGAGAGAGAAATGCATTCTGGATTAGATAACAAGACAATGGAAGTCTTGATGTGCTCAGCTGCAAATTAACTTTTCTCTGTCTCTCTAGGTGATGGAATAGATGATGTCGGAAGTACAGGGCACTGTGGAGTTCTCGCTGGAGCTGCACAAGTTTCACAATGTGGATCTCTTCCAGAGAGGGTAAGTTCTGAGTTCTTCTGTATGTCTAATGAAGGCTCCGTTAAGCGTCTGTTCTCTAAACAACCTGTTCAGGAAGAGCACATGGTGACAGCATCACCTATAAACACTACGAGCCGCTTGAATCAGTTTAATTGTCACATTACAGGCATTTTTCCATGTTCTTTTTGGATGAAATGAATAGACGGCATTGTGTGACATTCATTCTGTGCTATATGGCATAAAGACCGGAGCTGGAAATCAAAACTATGCTAACAGTGAGTTTACTCCAAAAAAGCTGACAAAATGAACTTTTAGCAGATATATGCATTGTCTCTAATGGAAAAAAAAAGGTTTTAAGATGTTTTTAATGTTTTTGAAGGAAGTCACTTCTGCTAACCAAGGTTGAATTTATTTGATCAAAAAGGCAGTCAGAGCAGTAATATTGTAAAATATTATTAGTATTAAAACAAGTATTTTCTAGTTGAATATATTTTAAAATGTAATTTATGCCTGTGATGCAAAGCTGAATTTTCATCATCATTACTCCAGTCTTCAGTGTCACATGATCCTTCAGAAATCATTCTAATATGCTGCCTGATTTGCTGCTCAAAAAACATTTCTTATTATTATCAATGTTGAAAACAGCTGTGATGAAGCTCTGATGTATATCAAGTTAAAAAGAACAGCTTTTGTAACATTATGCATGTCTATACTGCCACTTATTTTCAATCTAATGCGGAATTAAACTATTATATTAAATGTAATGTAGTAAGTTAACAGAAAAGGAAAATGTGCTTCACGTACAATTTCATATTTATTTATTTAAAATTTTTTAATGTGTGATTTCTGAGGCATTATTGGTAACAGACAAAATGTGTAAAGTATTTAAGCATCCTGATTGGCTCAGACATAACATTCACCCAACCAATGGCGTGAATTTGGGGCGGGACTATCTGTCTGACCAATAGCACATAAGAATCCTAATTTGGAAACAATATATTTGGTACCACTAGTGATGCAAAAAATGACACACTTCTCTAAATGTGGATCCGACACCTATTTTAGGATCATCTGCATCTACTGTATGCACGTTTAATCTAAATAACTTATATAACAGAGACAGCTTGTGTTGATTGGGTGTTAAACCATGTTTTCATATACATCTCCCCACTAAGACCATGAGGTGTCACGTGAAGCTGTTCGCTTCAGTAGACTGGTAGATTAATGATTGATTTTTGCTGTTTTTGTACATTATGTTCCTGTCATCGGTTCAAGCCAAATCAATTACAGTCTTGCTGCGAGCAGCAGGTGAAGTCTAGAGGGAATTCAATGACTTTTCAGGTCACTGATTTTTAACTATGCGGCAAATAGGGATCTGACTAGGAACTCATTTGAGATTCAGGGACAAAACTGTGCTTCCATGACCTTTGTGGTGTGAGTTTGGTGCTAGTCCAGTGGTTGACATTCAATAACATTGGCATGTTATGTACACACTACCGTTCAAAAGTTTGGGGTTGGAAAATATGTTTTTGAAAGATGTCTCTTATGCTCACCAAGGCTGCATTAATTTCATGAAAAATGCAGTAACAAACAGTAATATTATGAAATGTATCACAATTTAAAATAACTTCCATTTGAACTTTCTCAGTCATTCTACTTTAAAATGTCATGTTTAATTCAATGCTACTATCTGTTTCTTTGTAATTAATTGTGAAATTTACTAGCAATGTCTTAATCAAAACTAGTTTCTACACCATTTTTTCTCCCAGTGGAAAAAAAGTAACATTTATTTATTTATTTATTTATTTATTTATTTATTTATTTTCATAAATATTATGTACTTAAAAGCCACTTTAAGTAAAATTAACAAAGTGAATAAATATGTTCTTCTCAATTTTTCAGGACAAATGTTTACACAAACCTAATTTATATTAATTTTAGAAATGTCTTTGTTATTATTATTTTGTTACTGCTTGCCACTGCACTGATATCAGCACAGCTATGTTCACTGAAGTAATCATCAAACACAGTCATCATCTAACCATCCTACAAGCAAACCACAAGCACGGTGGGAACCACAAAAACTTAAACACCTGCAGCAGCAGCAGCGATATCATGCATTTCATGATCTATAGCTTGTGCAGTGCTGTATATGTTTAACATGTGCTACTGACATTTTTAGCAAGGGCTATATCATTTCATATGCTTGTGCTTCAGCATGTGCTACTGACATCTACAACATCTGGAACAGTGCTGTAAATACAACTTAACCACTGATTTTTAGTTGTGTCCTCTTTTGGAAGACCAAACAAAGTAGTTTCGCTTTCACAACGAAACACAGCGACTCCACAACATGGCAGCGGCGGCAACAGCAATAATTAAAGTTACGTATTCTTTCTTTGCGTGAACATTTGGGCAGCATTATGCAAATCTTCCCACATCGTGATGTAGACATGTGGGGGCGTGTTAGAACGAGGCGTTTTAGGTAGGCGTGGTTGACTCTTAAATTTTATAAAGAATATCTCTTTGGATTTGAGACTGTAGTCTTTGCAACTTTACAGATCTTCTTTATGCACCAAGAGCTTGTAACACTTCAAAGAGACAGGAAAAATTTAAATAGCATCATATGACCCCTTTAAAGGAACATTTCAGGCAAAAAAAAATAAAGCCTCCAAAAATTGATGGTTTTTAGAGAAGCCAGTTAAAATAGAGACAACCAAAAAAAAAATTTTACAGACCCTTGACTTGTTAATTTTAATTGACTAATTTTTAATTTTTGGTAACGCAATATATCGCCCATTATATATACTTAAAAATTAATGTCATCTTGTTTTGTACATTCCACTTGCGCCTGTGTCTTTTGCAGCTTCTCGTACATAATGTGGTGTAGTCATGAGGTGCTAGTTCAAATTTTAAAAAATGCTTCTACAAAGTGTCATCTGCAGATATGGTCTTGTTTAGGGATCGGTGCCTTTGTGTGTACGGACATCTGACTGCTAAGTAGTGATTGTGTTTCTCAGCAATAGTGTGCACCCTTAATTTACAGAGAAAAGAAGGTCAGGGAAAAATCTGTAGATGGAAAAATCTCCATACAAGTTCTTTGTGCATTTTTCTTTTTTTTCAACTTGTTACTTTGCCATTTTTTTTTTAGGAAATGTTTATTTACTATTTATTCTGGTTTTTAATGTATCTAATATTTTGATACTTAATTTCCATGATCTAAATATTCTTAAAAATTAAAAGTTTATTGTCATTTGGAAGTGTGTAGGCCTTCTTGCATTATTATGCTGTTACAATATGATTATATATTCAGTAGCATAAAATGGTCTTTAAAATGACAATAATATCGCGTATCGCAATTATTTCTGGGGCAATATATCGCACAACAAAAAGTTGTTATCGTGACAGGCCTAATCTCATCAGTTAAAATGTCTCTATCTACGTTGTGCGTTTTATTCAAAGATAACTGGATACCTTTCTGGAGCGTGGTCAGTAGAGCGCCCTCCGGCTTCCAGTATGAATTAAACTTCTTTACATTAGGTGTTTACTCATTAATGCTCACCCTATTTTGGGTTAAATAGGAAAGATAATACTTTTCTCTAAAGAAACAGGATTCCCGGAATTATCGTCATTGATACCGTTATCGTAATAAATGCCAGAAATATCGTGATATATTTTTAAGTCCATATCGCCCATCCCTAGTAAGTAGTAAAACAACACAAACGGAGCAAAAATACGTTTTAAGTTTAGACATTTAACTCCAGCAAACCACCTAGTCCCCCCCCCCCCAGACGAACTGTATTTCTTCAGTTTTTCAGTTGTTTAACTGTAATCTTATATGAAAATGGATCTTTTTTTACAAATGATTTGTATTCCACTTTGTAATCTGGGAATAAAATCTATAATAAGTCAACCATTCTCTGTCAATTGCAGCTTCTATCAGGTGAGGGCAGGTCTGCGTGTGTCTCCTCAGATTCCCCACAGAATCACTGCCACAACCCCTGGATACACAGGTGAGAACTTTATATATTTACTTTCTTCATCTCAGTGTCTCTATAAACCATGTGTGTAGCATTCACACGTCAGACAACAACACGCAACGAATCAGTCAGCGACATCGGTTTGTGAGTGTGTCTAGATTCTTTTCTTTTGTTAGACCTAATATTTTTAGAGGTGGTTTAGATTCAAGATGCATCATCTGAGAGAGGGTTTTAAACTGTCGGCAAGCTAAAATCCTCCCTGAGGAGATGCATCTCTGAATTCATTCCTTTTAAAGGCACATTAAAACAGCACTTTTGAAACTAATTTAACTTCTTAAACAACAATTTCAGAGACAATTACTGTCGAACATTAAATCGCTTGCTGTAAGCAATGCTCCTGTTATTGTGCACAATGCATTAGTTAGTGAGGACTTCATTTTGGTTACAATTATACATACCTTTTTTTGCCAGATAGAGGATGATAGTGAAGCCCATCGGATGAATGCGAGCATTCGAGGGCTCTGTCCCAAAGGTTTTGGGAGGATTCCCCTTAGTACATACTCTGTGCTCAAAACTACAAAACTACAAAAAACTACAAAACTACAAAACTAATCTACAGTACAGGCTGCTTTAGTTTTATTGCCATCTGATGGCAGTCAGGGCACCATGTTTCCACAGGTCACGTTGCGTCAGGTGAAAATATAGTCTGTTTTCACAACATTGACAGCTTCTTTTATCTCTCACACACGGGTTACCTACACACACACACACACACACACACACAATTATCAGTGTACACACTGCTGTTATGACACCTGTTTAAGACCATGTTCGAAAGAGCCAAAATAACTATTTTTGAAAAACCCACCGAAAAGCCCCTTATAATCTACTTGTACTGTCAAGAAACCATGTTTCTAATATCTTACCACACAATTTGGAGAATAAATCACTCCTATTCACCTGTGGGACTGCTGTTTACTTCCAATTTTGCATTCAGTTAGTGTGTTAGCATGCTTCTGAAAGTGACACTTCAGGTTTATTCGCTGAGGCCTCAGATACTCGTCTGAATCGTGTGATTTCTGACTGATATCACTGCACTATAATGAGCTTCTGGGCAAACTTTCATCTGCTGTTTATGTGCGAGGAACTGACAAGACTACACATTTGTTGTTGGATGTCTGCTGTCTTGTTGTTGTTGTTTTTTTGCTGATGCACTTTGGTGGTTGGTGCACTTAGCACTTTTCTCACTTTTTTCACTTCTTGCATATGGAAGGTGGAGGCTAGATTTTTGAGGGACCTTTTTTTGGTCAGACAGAGATTTTTTCAGCGTGGGGAATGGTTTAGCGACTTGTTGGATTAAAACTTTCTCCCTTTTGTTCTACGCACCTGGAAACGTATTGATCTTTTTGAGCGCACACAATTCCTGTTTGCCTAATTAATGCTGTACAGTTGCTTTGACACAATCTGTATTGTTAAAAGCGCTATATAAATAAAGGTGACTTGACTTGGCAAAGACTTATGTTCTAAACAAACGAACAAAAAAAAAGACACTTTACATACAGTCGTTTAGAAGTTTAGGGTCAGCAAGTCTCTTATGTCCACCAAAGCTGCATTTATTTGATCAACAATCCAGTAAAAACAGTAATATTGTGAAATATTATTTCAGTTTAAAAGAACTGTTTTCTATTTGAGTATATTTGAAAATCTAATTAATTTCTGTGATGTAAAGCTAAACTTTCATCTGCTGTTTATGTGCGAGGAACTGACAAGACTACACATTTGTTGTTGGATGTCTGCTGTCTTGTTGTTGTTGTTTTTTTGCTGATGCACTTTGGTGGTTGGTGCACTTAGCACTTTTCTCACTTTTTTCACTTCTTGCATATGGAAGGTGGAGGCTAGATTTTTGAGGGACCTTTTTTTGATCAGACAGAGATTTTTTCAGCGTGGGGAATGGTTTAGCGACTTGTTGGATTAAAACTTTCTCCCTTTTGTTCTACGCACCTGGAAACGTATTGATCTTTTTGAGCGCACACAATTCCTGTTTGCCTAATTAATGCTGTACAGTTGCTTTGACACAATCTGTATTGTTAAAAGCGCTATATAAATAAAGGTGACTTGACTTGGCAAAGACTTATGTTCTAAACAAACGAACAAAAAAAAAGACACTTTACATACAGTCGTTTAGAAGTTTAGGGTCAGCAAGTCTCTTATGTCCACCAAAGCTGCATTTATTTGATCAACAATCCAGTAAAAACAGTAATATTGTGAAATATTATTTCAGTTTAAAAGAACTGTTTTCTATTTGAGTATATTTGAAAATCTAATTAATTTCTGTGATGTAAAGCTGAATTTTCAGCATCATTGCTCCAGTCTTCAGTGTCACATGATCCTGAAATGTGCTGAATTTGCAGCTCAAAAACATTTCTTATTAATATCAGTGTTGAAATAAGTTCTGCTGCTTCATATTTTCATGGAAAACATGATAGTTTCAATTGAAATATAAAAATAGGAAATATTTATTTTAAAGCCTTTACTGTCACTTTTGATCAATTTAATGCATCCTTGCTGAATAAAAGTATGAATTTCTTTAAAAATAAATAAACAAAATAAAATCTCGTTGACTCAAAACAAAGCCATAATCAATAAAAGCTTTTTTGTCTTGTCCCTTTTACATTTATCCAACTAGCACATTGATAAATGAAGTATTTCCTGTTCACCCAGTTGCTCATTTTGCTCGAGTCATATGAGATAACGCAGCAGTTTTCTTTGGCTGTCGTATCTTAATGTCTTGATTGAGGAGTTGTGTGTGTATGAGTGTGTGAGTGTGTATTTGGCAGCAGAAGCCCCGTGGCCTCTGTCTGACATTCAGTCTTGGCACTGCTCGTTTGACTCAAACTCACACACTCACTGGCATCAGCGGCCATTTTGGATCTGTCAGCCATTCTGGCTCTTATGGGATTTCATTATCAGTTTCAAAATGCCATCCGGACAACTGGCTGGCTGACTAAACTGAAGTGTTTCAGCATCTTTGTGCTCTCTACTAACTCAAATGGTTAAAACAGTACAAAAGTGTAACCAAAATCTGTTGCGTTCTGCCTTACAAGTTCCCTTTCAGTCGGTCACTCTCGACGTCACGTCGGATGACCGACGAAATTGGGATCTCGCTTAGAGAGACCAATCCACTTCGAGTGTAAACTAAACGAGCCAATGCACATTGGCATGCGATTATTGCATCCAGCTGCTGCTGATCACAGCGTGAGTATAAGTAGGCAGCAGATGCAGCGCATATTCAGCTTTTCACTTCGGAGCCGAGCGGTTCTATCGTTCTGCTCCTGACCTTCTAAGAGTACTCTGGTGGCAGCCGGGGATACCCTTTTTCTGGCAGTGGGCGGACTGGTCTCACAGTCACGGTGAGGAATTCCCCTCCTACAAGGAAGGGGATGCCTGAACCAGCCGGCACTTCGAAGCCAGCGGAGCCCTCGAGAGAGCAGGCTGGATCCTCCCGGGGGATACCACCTGTTTCTTCCGAGGCTCCGGAAGCCAGACTTTTCTGGGGATGAAGAGCCGTCAGCGTTGCCGCCCTCTGGGCAGCTGAGAGAGTCGGGCTCGAGTGGAATCTTCCACCGCGTCCCGAACCCTCAAAGGCCAACGCGGGGGTACACGGGAGTCCCCCAGGTGGAATGGTCGGTTGCGATGCAATTGTGTCTAAATGCCGCTACCACTTGGCGGGGAAAACCGTTGCTCCCCTCCCGAGCCTGTAGGCACTCGTCGACTCTGATCGGCAGTGCGTATACGGCCTGTGGAGAAGCTGCGTCCGTCTTACACGCTTCGGCATTGCTGCAAGTACACCAGGCCAAGGCACTGAGGAACTTGCACGAGGGTGGTCACGACTCGGAAGTTCTCACGGAGCTCCGCTCCGCGACGGACCTCGCGCTACGAGCGACGAAGGTTACGACAGAGCGACGAAGGTCTCTGGGTCGTGCAATGTCCACTATGGTGGTCCAGGAGCGCCATCTCTGGCTGTGTCTGGCCGACATGCGCGAGGCGGACAAGGCACGTTTCCTAAACGCCCCCGTGTCCCAGACCGGCCTGTTCGGCGACACAGTGGAGAACTTTGCCCAGCAGTTCTCCGCTGCCCAAAAGCAGACTGAGGCCATCAGACACATCCTGCCCCGGCGTGCAGCTGCTGCCTCCACCCGACCGCCGGTGGCAGCGCCCCAGCCTGCTCGTCGACGAGAGCGGCCCCCGGCCACCGCCCCCGCTCCCGCGCAGCGTTCGCAGCAGCCTCCAGCAAAGATGCACCGGGGAGCCGGTCGCAGGGCAGCTGCCCCGCCCGTCCAGGCCCCCGCCAGACCTGGCGGTAAGCGAAAGAGCAAGCGGCCCTGAGATGGGCGACCCAGAGATGGAGGAAGTTGCTCTTGGGGAGATGGTGGAGGCACCACTCCCTCCCCCGGAGGAGGGCCGGGCGGAGAATATTTTGTTTCCTTTTTCTGCCACTGACCTCACGGCCAGTGGTACCCAAATCCTCGACAAAAGAGCAATTTCTTCTTTCTCTGGGTCCCCTGAGGGAATGGGGGGGTTGTGGACAATCCAGAGCCGTATCACACTCACCCTCCTCTCTCGCCAGTGAGCAGCAGTGGGCGGATCGGGAGGACGAACCACCGGAC